ACAACCAGAACCCACCAAAAAAAAGGCCAGAATTGTAAAAAACAAGAAAACCGCACCCAACCTGAAAATAATAACACACCTTTTTAAAAATAAAAAAAAAAGAAACCAGAAAAAAAAAAAATTTTATTTTTAAGAAAAAAAAAACTTTTAAAAAAAAAAATTAAAACAAAATTTATTTTTTTTTTTTTTTTTTTTTTTACATTTTTCAAGGGCTATAGATATAATTAGTCATCTATAATAAAACCAAAGACTGTTTCTCATGGGGGTCCGAGAAAATAAATGTCAAATTTCACAAGAATTGTGTAAACACAGGTAAAGATCTGAAAATTTCATGTGTAATATGTCGGTTTGTGAAATTTGACATTTATTTTCTCTGGCTGTCAAAAGAAATTTTCTTTGGTGTTATTACAGATAACTAACTACATCTATAGCCCTTGAAAAATGTAAAAAAGAATGCGATATTGTTGAAATGATTCTGGTACAAGGTTTTTGTCCACTGAAAATTGAAATTACTCAATTTTCTGATGGACTCTGTCTTGAAATAAATCTCGCGAGCGGTCAACATTCGCGGGTAACGGTACACTGTTACCCTCGGACGTCATAGATTTTACAATGTCGCCGACTCAGAGACGTAACCAATGAGAGCGCGCGCTGTTGGAAAAAATTTCCAGCTCTATAGCAAAAAGTATTGTTAAAGTTAACTGTGAAAAACCCTCCCTGATCTGCACAATTTGGCCTCACCTAACTTAACTACGACTTCATCCCACCTCTTATGGAAAGTAAAATATAAAGAATATTGCGGCCAGGACTGAGATCAAGCTGTGATATGGATATTGGCTAAGTTCCGTTACTTCGATTTTGGCTGATCGAGAAAAGTCGAGATCTATAAAAACAAACCAAAAAAAGCAGCCTATATCCAACTACACTCTTTTTTTTATAAGAATGCAAAGTACAAAAAAATATATCCGTGCAAGGGAAAACCGTTTGAAAAAAAAAAAACAATGCACGCCCAGTAGCCCTAAAAAACGTTCCTGCAGTGGCCCTAAAAGAATTCATGCAAGAGAAATGTCCACGAAAAAATATTCATGCAGCTCGAAAATTCCCCAGCCCCTCCATAGCTTTTCGAATGGTCCGTCCCTAATGAGAGAGCACTATTAGACTGTCAGTACGTTACTGCCCTTTATTTCTGTTTACGCGTTCCTTACACGTGTTGCGTACAATCTATTATACTGTTGTCTGTAACATTTGGCTGTTCTAGCTTTAAGCTTAAATAAAGGAAAGTTAACAAATAGACTCTTTATACATTAATATTTAAAGTTTTAAAGATCCATTTCTGGCGACGTTTCTTGGAAACCCCCGCGACAGAGACTTGGAAAATTGTGCCATTAAAAAAGTTAGATAATTTTTTTCAGTGTCTTGATCCTCTCAGACATTGAAATATCGTAATAACTGAACTGGTGGCCATACTTCAGATTTACTGATGAATTATTAATTAAGTGTGTGATTACTTATATATTTTTCCTTATACAACATTTTCAGTTATCTTTTAAAAAGGCTAGCAAGAGATATTGTACATTCTGCCTGTCAAGTTACGAAACAATAATAGAGCGACAGCCGGAAATCTAACCTATCGACCTAAAGGCACGTTGTAAATAGAACTATACTTACACTGCTTAACTCTTTTTTCAAAGTACGTACGTGTTATAACTACGGGAAAAATTTGTTTTTAAAATACACTACATTCTTGAGTAGTACACCCTATTTTCATGTCACGCATTATAAATCTGTCTAGAGGAGTACGTGTCAGGGCGCGTGTCACCTGTAGAACTCAAACAATATGTCGAGTGCAAAATGTTACTCTGACAAAATATTTATCCTTATTGTCTAGGGACAATCGAGCGTACAAATATTCTCTTTCCATGTGATGATAACCCAGTTAATTTTATGCAAAATACCTCCTTGAATGTTCTTTTCACAATTTCACGAATTTCTCGATTTCGCCAGCAGTACACGACGGGGTTCAATGAGGAATTTAAAAGAACCAAGAAAATAGAGGCATGCTTCCCTGCCAGTGAAATTTGTGAACTGTTTACCGTATCTAATATTACAAAAATAAATAGTGGAAAATAACAGGCTACGAAAACCAAGAAGACGAAGAAAGCATTATAGGCAGACTTCTTTTGTCGGAGTTGTTCCATTTCTTGAGGATTTTGCTGCTGCGTTTGGCCTTGTATTCGATTCTGATGATACTTGACAACTTTGTAAATGCGAATATATGCCACACTTGCCAAAAAAAGTCCAAGACATACAGTTATAGCAGCCACCATGTCACTGCCATTTGGCAGTACAATGAACAATGTCGCAACGATAAAGCTTACTATCCATAAACACACCAATGCTGAAATAACACGTTTGGACGTGATGAATTCGTGATATCGAAGGTGAAGTGAAATAGCTAAGAGTCGATCAACTGCAATGGCTGTAACGTTCATAAACGATGCACATGAAAGAAGAAAATTGAAAAAATAAAATACGCTCAAAATTGTTGGGCAGAAAGATGTATAACTGATATAGCGATCCGCATACGCTATACTCAACATCACTGCGATTATAACGCCAAACATCGGTTGGGAGAGTATTCCAACAGCAAGATCAGAAAAAGCGAGACTCAGGAACAATTTTTTTACGGTATTAGGCATTGAGGAGGCTCTCCACAGAGCGTAAATAACAGTAAGATTTCCAATGGACGCCACCATCGAAAACAGCAAATATAAAACACACAATATGTACATAAAACTTCTTTGCAGTTCAACGAGTTTCCTCAGGTGATCCAATTTGTGAAAGCAGAACTGGTTGGTCATGCTGCTGTACGTTTTGTGATCCAAATCTTCTGTAAAAGAGAGTTTAAATCGTAGCACGTAAAGCTCTGTAAATATGTCGATTATCGTTTGCGCTGCAGAAAATCTGTGTACGGATGGGAAGAATCCATAATGAAAACCAATAGACTGTGATTGACGATGCAAGCAAAAATGTTGACGCGTCACGTTCAATCACGTACTTTCGGATTAAACGTTTTATTTATACAGCGTGGTCATGCACGTTAAATTAAGTCAGAGCGGGTGCGTAATTGACTCACTCCAGAAAGTACCAGAACATACCATAATGCTCTTTGTTTTTTACCCCAAAATTTTGCAAAAGCATTGTTCTCTTATTGTTCTCAGATCAGTTTCTCTTAGGGCCATTTTGCTCCCAAGAGAAACTGAAAACAATGCTTATGCAAAATTTTTAGGTGATAAACAAAGAGCATTATGGTGTGTTGTGGTATTTTCTGGAGTGGTCAAATAGGGAATTTGGGGCGTGAATATATCAGCTCAAACAGGAAAAAAGGAAAAGAAATTATTTTCCGTGTTACTGGTTTTTCATCCTCAGGTGTCTCCACGTGGGCAGTATGATTTGTATAATCGTATGTCTCTATTCGTGGTGATCAATAACGTCGGAGCCACATTAATAATCCAGCATTGGCTTTTTTTTTCAACCCCGTTCACAGGGTTCACTCCTACCCGTCCCTACGGAGCGAAGAGAGATCGAGACGAGCAAGAGAGACTGGGAAAGGAAGTTTCCCTCCTCCCTCCTCCCTCCTCCCCCCCCCCTCCCCCCCCCTCCCCCCCCCCCCCTCCCTCCCCCTCCCCCTCCCCCCGCCTCCCCCTCCCCCCTCATTCCACCCCGTCACCCCCTCTCCCTCCCAATTCTGTTTGTTGATGTTTTCTGTGTGCGTCTGTTCGTACGCCCCAGGCCCACCCGTGCATCCCGAGCGGTGCGAGCGGGAGGCGGAGAGGAGAGGATGGGAAAGGGAGTCTCCCGCCTCCCGCCTCCCTCCTCCCTCCTCCCTCCTCCCTCCTCCCTCCACCCTCGCGCGTGGTCTCGCGCCCTAATTCCCTTCCCCTTCCCTTTCGAATGCCTGCCACGCAGGCTAGATTGTAATGTGTAAACTGATTCAACAGAAGATAAAGTTGAGAGAGCTATTCTCTAGGTGATCCTTCTCGAATTATTTTTAGCCACACTGAATAGCAATGACTTTTGGGGTTTCAAATAAATTACACTGACTTTTCGTTCCAGTGTAGAACTTGTCATTTTCCTAAAATGTGATGCTTTCGATTTTTCAGATCTTCTCTTCGAAAAAACTCTGCACGTTTTAACAAAATACGGAAAAACTAGTTCGCTAGTCCCAGACAGATGTGAACCAGATTGTTGACGGTATCGGAACGAATCCACCTAAAATATATAACCTTTTGAAATTTGAGTTTCAGCGTAGCTCAGCGTGCTTCGAGGATGCGAAACCTAAGCCATGTTGAATTTTAAAACCCAGTTTTAAATGCTAGGCTTAAGGGCACTTCCCATTTAGTCAAAATTTCCGGAATTTCCGGTTCGGCGGTAAATGGAACACGTTTAGTCAGTTCGTCCCACTGGAAAATTCCTAGAGAAGGTGGAAAATCTAAAAAGTGGCCCCGTTTTCCCGGCTGGAATTTCCAAACGGAATTTCGTGTCCCACTTACACGTTTCTCGTAGTGTGTACCAGTTTCATGTCCACGGCAAGAAAATCTGTCATGGCCAGTCGTTAGCAAATCAAAATGGCTTCCCTCGAGCTCATGTATCATAAAAACGCACGGTTTGTTTTTTTGCTGGCTCCACAATGGAGGCACTTTTACACCACGAGTACGTGCCCTGGCCTTGGATTAATTGGTAAGTATCTAGTAATAAGCCGAACAGCAATATTTATTCAGAGGTTCGTATTCACGGAATAGAATCGTATCTCTGCAATTTTTCTTCTGACACGCTTTTCCCGCCATTTGCTCTCTTCGGACGCTTCTGCTTTAGATTCCAATCGGTCGCCTTCACCCTATTCTGATCTAACAAACCAACAAACTGGGAAGATCGTGATGTCAGTAGCCTGCGTAGCAAGCTTTTCCGTGCTGTTTCGGAGCAAAGAAAGACCGAGGAACGGGATTCTCGGTTTTGGCTGCGCGAGAATGTTGCGCGGTCAGTTTGACTCTCGAAACAGCACGGAAACACTTGCTACGTAGGCTATGATGTCAGGAACTTAATCACCTCCTGGGCAGATAATAGGGAAATGTTCGGAGGGAAACAAACGGGCACCGCGACGTACCGGGGCTTACCACCAAAAGGAACAACTTTTTACCAATCGGAAATTCCACTTTTGCTCCCATCGAAATTTTCGGGTTTTTTTCCTAAATGGAAGCGCCCTAAGTTTGTATAAAGAAAACTGTATCGTTCGACATATCGCGTAGTTTTTATTTTAAGCAGTTATAGTCCGGCTTTTCTTCAGATAAATTGCAATTAGTCTTAGAAACCTTTATGTATACCACTCATTTAACCATCATTAAAGGGAAATCTGAGACCAAGGCCTTGATGCATTTAGCGAGGTCAATACATCAAGGCCGAGGTCTCAGATTTCCCTGTAATGATCGAACGGACGAGGTAGATAAGTTATCATATGTCCTTTCCATTATGGACCTGAGCCTGCGATCAATTAAAACTAACAGGTGGGCAGCGGATAACTTTAACAAATACGTCACCTCAATGAGTTGTACACTTGAGCTCGCGATACAGTCATGTGACACTGGTCAGCGGATACCCTTTTTGACAGCTGTCAGTCGACCATAACATGGATGTCCATAAGGATGTCCACTATCAAACTCCTAGCTAGCAATGCCTGGTCATTACAAGAAAACAGCCGATCAGAGCGCGCGTAATATTATAGCCATATGATAATAGAGGATCATGCATTGTCTTACGAGATCGGGATAACCAAATAAACCAATGCAGAAAGAACGTCTTCGTTGATCCTTTACTTTAAATTCAGCAGTCGAACGAAATTTCCGTGCCTCATTTCATTTAAAGGACTTACAAGACTTTTGCGTTGCTATTCTTCGATTAGTTCATTCTGCTTTGGCTGGCTAGTGCCCTTATCTCATCAATATTTCGCCGCAATATTCTGCGATACTATCAATGTCGCCAGGAATGCAAGAAAACTGTAAAACTTCCTAAGTTTACCCTTGTCAAACCACTGGACATACGCTTAGAAACGGAAATGGACAAATTGAAAAGAACACACTTCGTTTGCAGTACCCAAATCTGGAAACCTGGATCGTTTGTGGCGAAACTTCAAATTCATTTACAAGTGCGGGAAGTATATGAATTTCATTAAAAGGCATTGATTTTGTCACGTTTTATTGGATTCAAGGTGAGGTTTAAACAGAATAAACAACTTCACCAATTTTAAGAGTAAGTAGAGAATTGCCGCACCCCCCATAATTGATTTTTAGTTAAATGGAAGGAGTTTGTCTTTTTAGCTCTTTTCTAAACCATCCTCAACACAAAATTGTTCGGTGATCATGAATCTGGGCAGGGTCAAGATGGCCGTTCATCCGTTCATCGGCCCGACGGCTATCCCATGCTGATGAGCCCCGTTAAGGGCGAAACAGCTGTCCATGGCTACCACTGGCCAGGTGATATGGTTGTGCGTATGCGTAAAGTATTGGCCATACCATGGAGTGGGTACATGTGCTTCAGTGCTGAATTTAGTGCTGATAAATACAACAACACCAGCAAAGTCACGCTAGCATTACAGGCTATTGCATATTGTGCTTTGAGCGGTAACTTTTTCCAGGCTGACAATAACACCCTCTCGGGCAGGCTGGGGAGGGGGCACTCCAAAGAACCTTGGGTAAAGGTGTGCCTCCGAAACCTCGTGCAAACGGACCCTATGTAAGACAAAAATCGTTCATTTCGCTGCCCTGTTTTAATAGAGACAAGAGACCTTTAATATTTCATAACCCTGACAGAGAATAATTTCGCATACTTATTGGTTTAAATCAACAATAGCAAACCTACGCAAGCGTCCAGCCATTCTTGTATCCAGAGTCAGCCAGAAGACTCCGGTTACAAGATGGCGTCCAGCTTGCCGTCTTTTCGGGGGAGAAGCGCGGGCTCGTTTCCCTAACAGCGGCTGGTAATCGAGTCTACCAAAAGCCATGCTCACTGGTAACATAACTCTGCTCACATGCTCACAGAGTATACACCCAGGGCGGATAAAGGTTGGGCGGTGAAACGAGCGCGTCCGAGCAAAAAGGTGTGATGCAGTGGACTGGGACACTGCGTAGAAATGTCGCTTGTCTTCGACTTCGGTCAGGGCTTGCGATGTGGTTTGTACATTAGACACTGCTGCTGTCACTGAATTATGGCAGCTTGATTTGTTTTCTTGCACTTCTTCCTCGTTACTTTGTGCTGGTACGCTGCCTCCGAGAGGCAAATGTTGCTATTTTTTTGCGGGAGGTTTAGTTGGAGTAGACAAACATCTCTTTCAAAGGGTTTCTTTTATTACTTCCATGACTCTACCACTGAATTATATTTTCGTTCTGCTACTCGCCAATGTCGATGTTATTCCAAAACAAAAACAACTAAGTACTGTCTAAAACACAAAGGAAAATCTCGTCCATGTCATCCCTAGCAAAACTAAAAGACAGCAGTAGATGACGTGTATTTTATAAATGCGTGCAGCTCGTGCAAGGTGAAATTATGCTAATTTCAATCACCATCATCCTTCTTTTTAATTTTGAAAAAAACATCTCATACGTCTTTCTGTTACTTCGAAACTTCAAAATTAGTTTCCCCTCAGTTTTTAGTGTTTACCTTGTTTTGTTTTAGAGAGAAAAACGGAGAAAAAACCTTACAACTAACCTCAATAAATTTTGTTTACATGCGGTTGCCGGATTTGCAACGCATTGCGCGAATCGCCATGGCGCGTTGCACCCGAGAAGCAAAGTTTGAACAAGTACAACGCCACTATATCAATATATATCAATCTAATTTTTTGTTATGT